TTTTTTTTATTTTTAAAATGTGAAGTAGAGGATAAAGAAAGGAAAGGGAAGAAGAAAGAGATGAATGGATAGTAGTAAGCCTAAAATCTGCCATCTATATATAGTCAACTACAGACAGCGTTTCACTGTATCTCAGCACTTCAGTGTGACTCGATGTCCGATTGTTTCAAGCCGAGGGCGAAACCCGACCGATTTGGCATTAGTCCTACCCTTAGGCTATTGTCGCTCGGAGATTTGGCACAACAATTATTACAGATAGTAATATGCTTAGATACAAAAAAAAAGAAGAAAATAAACAAGCCAAAACGAAATGATCAATTAATTTTTTTATCCAATCAAAAAGATCAGATTATTTTTTTTTTCAGATTAACATATAGCTTTCCTTGTGATTTTGTTTTTTTTATTTTCTGTTCATATTTTGTGAAAGTATACACGTTCGAAATATCCAGATGCACACAAAACACTACCCAATTTCTACCCGATACACAATAACGGGTAGAATGTATTTAATGTGTTTTCTGAAGCTTGAAGATAAAGCATTTTCATTATTCCACATACATCTCATTCTATATTCTTTATTCTGGTTTGAAACATTATTTATCGAGTGATAATTTATTCGGCATTTTATTCTTTGAAGTACATTTTGCTTTATTTTATTTTTACCGAATTCTTTTTCCGCCTGCCCACGTGTAGGCATTACCTTGGCTAAATGAAAATCTGCTTGAAATCACCAAGTGATTTCGTTTTTGTTACTTGGGAATGTTCTTTGTAATGTTGTAGAGCCAATCTATCATATCTGATGACGTATTGTCCGTGAAAGGCCTAAAGGATGCATTCGCTTGAAGCCGTTTTTAATCATTGATCTGAGAAAGCGTTGAATTTTATAGATAAGGAAAATTTCATATATTTTCTTTTATTTACTTTTTCCAGTGCCCGCATTTTTTTATGAGGTCTAGTACCGTGTAAAAAATAAGGTCCGTATTGACTATTATCTCAAGTGATTTCTGTTAATTCATTAGTCATCTTCAATAGGTTTATCGACAGTTTTTTTTTGTGTTTGTATTCTCTGATGTGTTGTATAGTAGTAGTAGTAGTAATCCCATGTTGGGTTATCTTTAAAGTAATCCTACTATTCTGAGACTATTTGCAAAGCAAACAATGTTGAGGATAGGTTTATTGTAATCGTAATATTAAATGTTTCCGTTTAAAGGAAATATGCAGCATTTATTGAACGAGTCGGTTGTCATTCATAAAATATTTCATTAAAACAATTTTTCAAGAAAAAATATTTTCTCCAGTCTAGTTATTGTTATAGCTCCTTCCCCTATTAATGGAGGTTTCCTTCCTAACCTTTTGTTTGGAATGTCAACACATTTGGTGGAAGAAGAGGTGGAATCATACTTTTCCAAAGGGTATTTGCACGAAAGGTAATGTAATGAACATGTCAAGACTTCGAATTTGGCTTGCCGATTTCTCATGTCAAGTCGCTAGACATTACACCACCTGCACACCATATTTGTCAGTAGAAGCTCTGGAACCTTTGTGCTCCCAAACTGTTCTAGTTTCATTTGTTTTGGTTTACTTCCACAAAGAGCAAATTAGTCTTGATAAAAAGCAATAATAACAATAATGAACAAAAATAAAGATCTGGAGCTTTGATTATACTGCTGTGGGTTTCCCAGTGACTGGGGTAGGCAGCAGTTGGCTAGCTCTCACTCCCTCTTTCAAAGTATCCCTGTCACGCAGACTAATGTGGGCAAGGCCATACTCCCAATGTAGTCCTTCCACAGCTTCCTAGGTCTACCTCAACCTCTGTGACCAGAAACCTTGAACTCTTAGACAGTCCTGATGCATGACAAAGCTCATTGGACGTGACCAAATCATCTAAGAGAACAGGTGCACAGCACTGATGTTATAGCCTCAATACCGAGCCTTGTTAACAACACTGTTCTAAATAATCTTACACAAGGACAGAAGAACTCAGCATCTTTCCAATATTGAACTCATGACAATTGGAAATAGTCTAAATATTGCAAGAAAATTGGGCTAAGATCAACCATATTTGTTTTAATATTTGCAATACTTTTGGAACAGTTTCTTTGTCCAAGAATGTGAATTGGAAGAATCAATGTCTAATTGTAACAAAATATCTGCAAACAAAATTGAAAGGAAAGCCAAACATGATTTTATAAATCAAATACTTGTTGCTGAAGAGTATTTTATCCAGAGTAAAACATCTGTTTTCTGAACTACAGAAATGTGTGAAATCTGACAAGAAAATAAAACACGCAGTCATACTTCTTATCATATATACAAAAACAAATAAATAATGGGAAATAGGTTTTAGAATTTACTGCATACTATTTAACCCATAGTAAAATCAATTGTTTCCTTATAAGAAAACATTCAGCATTCATTGACAGAGAGCTCCCGCTGCTTTCAGTTGAAATTTATAAAATCTTTCTAGTCAAACAATTTTTCAGGAAAATAGGTTTTTCAA